ATTGGAATCATGAATAATCTTACGTTCGGTGGCGTAACTTGGAATTGTAATTTATCTGTGAAGGGGGGGGGGAGGAGGACAAAAGATAAGAAAAATTAATTTTTTTATTGTAACTATATATATGTATATGGGATGAATTTGACGTAATTTTAATTAATATCCTCTCAAATAATTTACCAATTATAAATATAAGATACACACAAATAYTAATAAGTGGTTCTTGAAGTTTTGTAGAATTTTAAAAATGGCGAAGACCAGAAAACATAATATAAAGTTATAAATATCTGCGTTATAATAATATCTGTACAATATTAGTGAATCTATACGCAAAGGTGGGCATTTTTTAGTTATAAATTAATTTTTTTTTTAAGATTTCACACATAAGATGACATTAGTATTAATTCTCAAATTAGCTTAATAAGTTGTCTAGAAAATTATTTTTATTGTGATTATTTTGTTTTTAATTCAGTTAATTCGAAATAAGTATTAGTTACATGTAAAATCAAGAAATATTTATGAAAATCTAAAGCAGTGGTTAAAACCGAATCTAACTATAATGATTGCCATAATTATATTATGAACTGGTTTATGGAACTGTTTTTTTTTWAACAAGCCGTCTCACATTAATATACGACCTCATTGCGCATTCGTCACCCATTATTGGATATATACTAAGTCTGAGTGGACCCATGTGGGGCTTTTGAGAGCCACGACCGAGTTTAGGCACAGTGTTGGCTACCCATCCGAGCTTTGCCACGAAGGTCACGGGTTTGCGACAGGATTATGTGAACACTTCTTGTGATACCTCGGCACACGAGACACGGAATAGATAAAAATTCTCTCACCGGGGAAACCTCTTAGACAAACAACGTGTAAATAAAACAATAGAGTTTTACCTAATAAAGTAAATTGAAAACGATTCGTTATTTGTTTTTACACCATACACAACGGTTCAACAGCTGTAGTTTTAGTAACGGTATATCCGCCGCCGTGTACGATATAAGTATCACAGCTGACAATATAATGATACATGCAGGGTGAACCACCGAGCATGGTGGTAAAACATTTTTTACTTACTAAATACATAGTTTTTTTTAAATTTAAATTTCCAATATGTTCGAGCTCTAATAAAAACTAAACCAAAGTGTTATCAAATACTTAGAAGTTTCACACCAATAAAATTAAAATGTGTGTCCTGTCCAAAATTTTTTTTTTCAAATGATACCTAATCAGTATTTTTTTTACTGTAAATTACGAAGCAGCAAAGTTTTTAGAAAATTTTTATGACCTATCTATGTAAAATTACCAGTGACTAGTTTCTGAGTTGCCTATTAAAATGAATATACTGAACACAATACTCCTTAAAAAATATTTTTACAGAAGTATGAAATATAGATATACTACTGAATTCATCRCCTATTCCAAACCTATTATTAYAGATTCGTTGACTAAAATTATTATAAGAACACAAAGTTGAATAACTTGAAAATAAAAAAAAAACTAATTCAAATTTTTGTTTATATTGAAACAACTATATTTTCAAAAAAGTCTTAGGTTTAATAATTTTGAGAAAAAATTATGAATTAGAATATTAAGTGAAAAGTCACACGTCTCGATACGGTGTCACATATAAAATTTAAAGTGTACGTATTTTGTCTTTTGTGCATCTATGGAATACATTTTTTTTT